TGTAATTCCGGCTACTCAGAAGGCTGAGGCGGAAGGATCGCCGGAGCCCAGCAGGTCGAGGCTGCGGTGGCCGGGAGCAGCCACTGCACTCCAGTCTGGGCGACAGAGTGAGACTCCAACTCAAAAAAAAAAAAAAAAAAAAGTTCATAGAAAATGGAATTAAAAGACAAAAATAAAAAATATAAACTTTATTCCTCAATATAACCTTCATCAAGTTCAAGGCTCTTTTGTAAGCAGTGATACCTGCCATTTAGTCCATCCCTAAAGAACTGAGGTTCCTAGGAATTTAACCATGCCAATGCAATCTTTTCTACACCATTAGCTGAAGAAAAACAAACACATATTTTTTAAGATTAGGAAACAAAAAGAAGTCAGAAGAAGCCCAATCGGGGCTGAAAGGTAGATTCCTAATGATTTCCCATCAAAACTTGCAAAATTATTCTCATCAATGAGAGGAATTATCAGGAATGCATTGTCAAGGTGAAGGACTTGCCTGTGAAGCTTTCCTGGTTTTTCTACTAAAGTTTTGGCTTTCTCAAAACACTCTAATAATAATAAGCAGATGTTATATTTCTTGCAAAATGCCTTGAAGATTCCAAAAAAACTGTTGCCATGACCTTTGTTCTTGACTGGTCCCCCTTTTTTTTTTTTTTTTTAGTTGGAGTCTCACTCTGTCGCCCAGACTGGAGTGCAGTGGCCGCTCCCGGCCACTGCAGCCTCGACCTGCTGGGCTCTGGCGATCCTTCCACCTCAGCCTTCCAATTAGCCGGAATTACATGCACGCGCTACCACGCCCGGCTGATTTTTTGATTTATTGTAGAGATGAGGTCTTGCTACCCAGGTGGGTCTTGAACTCGCGGGCTCAGGCAATCCACTCACCTCAGCCTCCCAAAGGCGTGGGATTACAGGCTGAGCCACCAAGCCCGGCTGACTGGTCCCCTTTTGCACTGATTGGACCACTTCCACCTCTTGGCAACCATTGCTTTGATTGTGCTTTGCCTTTAGGATCACACTGATAAAGCCATGTCTCATCGCCTGTTACAATTCTTTGAAGAAATCCTTCATGATCTTGAACCCACTTGTTTAAGATTTTCATTGAAAGTTCTGCTTTTGTCTGCATCTGATTTTGGTTGCAACAGTTTTGGTACCCATCAAGTGGAAAGTTTGCTCAACTTTAATTTTCAGTCAGAATTGAGTAAGCTGAACCAATTCTTGAGATGTCTATGGTGTTGGCTATTGTTTGTGCTATTAATCATCATTTGTTCTTTTCAATTAGGACACAAACAAGATTAACTTTTTCCTCGCAAATTGATGTGGATGGTCTATCACAGCAGGCTTCACCTTATCCTCTCGTCCCTTCTTGGAATGAATTATCTATTTATAAACTGTTGATTACTTTGGGGCATTGTCCCCATAAACTTTTTGCAAAGCATAAATAACTTAACCATTCTTACACCAAAGCTTCACCATAAATTTGATGTTTGTTCTTCACATTTAGCAGAATTCATGTTGCTCTAATAGGGGCTCTTTCAAACTCATGTTGTATCCTCCGTAGTGCCTCAAACTAGATCCTATTCAGACATGTTATAACAAGTTAGTATGAGTTTATTTTGGTGCAAAAAAGTTTTTGAAATCCATACACTGTTTTTTCATATGCATTTTCCATGGAATTTTTGAAGACCCTCCTCATGCGAGGTAATGCATATGTTAAATTGCTTGTGGCCTTTCCACAATGTATATAAACAAGGAGGGGCCAAAAAAAAAAGCGAAATTATCTTTTGAAGGGTGGGCCCCTTGTAGTACACTAGGAATGTGTTCTTTTGGATCAAACGATCAATCAAAGTTTTTATCTGGAAGTTCTGAGAAGGTCGTGTCATGATTTGCAAAAGAGATGTCCCCCAAGTTGTAGCAAACAGGTGACTGGTTCTTCAACCATGACAATGCACCTGCCCACATCACACTGAGTGTTGCGGCATTTGACCAAAAACCAGTATGACCCCTGTGCCCCACCCTCCCTATTCACCGGATCTCACAAGTGCCTTTTTCTTATTTCCCTGGATGAAAAAATCCTTTAAAGGGAAACATTTTGCCAATGTGGAAGAGGTGAAATAAAAAACAGCAGAAGGCCGGGCTCGGTGGCTCAGCCTGTAATCTCACTCCTTCGGGAGGCTGAGGTGAGTGGATTGCCTGAGCCTGCGGATTCGAGACCCACCTGAGCAGCGAGACCTCATCTCTACAATAAATCAAAAAATCAGCCGGGCGTGGTAGCGCATGCCTGTAATTCCAGCTACTCAGAAGGCTGAGATGGAAGGATCACAGAAGCCCAGCAGGTCGAGGCTGCGGTGGCTGGGAGTGGCCACTGCACTCCAGTCTGGGCGACAGAGTGAGACTCCAACTCAAAAAACAAAAAACAAAAAAAACAGCAGAAGCACTAAAAGGCATCAAAATTGATGAGTTCGAAAACTGTTTTGAGCAATGGAAAAAGCATCTTGTCTTGATAGTGTATTTTATCAAGTGGACGGTACTTTGAAGGTGACTAAAGTTTAAAATCTAAGACTATACAATTTTTTATTTTAAAAATTCCAGGTTTTTTTGGGTTCCTCCCTTATATATCAGAACATCATGTTGTAAACCATATATACAATTTTTACTTGTTAATTTAAAATATTTTAATTGTTCTACAAACAAAGGTGTAACACAAATACAAAAGTAAATTGTTTAAAAACTTATTACAAGGTATGAACCCTATTTAAAAACTGCTGTGTGTGTGTGTGTGATTTTAAGAGACAAGAGTCTCTGGCCGGGCTCGGTGGCTCAGCCTGTAATCTCAGCACTTTGGGAGGAAGGCAAGTGGATTGCCTGGGCCTGTGGATTCAAGACCAGCCAGGGCAACTTGGCAAGACCTCATCTCGATGATAAATCAAAAATTAGTTGGGCATGGTAGCTCACACCTGTAGTTCTGGCTACTTGGAAGGCTGAGGACAGAAGGATCGCCAGAGCCCAGCAGGTTGACGCTGGGGTGGCCGTTAGTATGCCACTGCACTTCAGCCTGGGCCACGGAGTGAGACTCCAACTCAAAAAAAAGAGTCTCAAACTCCTGGAAGCCTTCCTGCTTCAGCCTATCTAGTAGCTGGGACTACAAGCATGCTCCACCACACCCAACTTCAATACTGATTTTTAAAAAGTGTTTAAAATGTATGACAAGTGTAAGACAATTGGAAATTTGAATACCGCCTATCTAGGATACTACAAAATTTTGGAGGGCATGTAAATGATATTGTGGTAATGTGAAAAAGAAAAAGGAGTCCTTATCCTCTAGAGATACACACTCAATAATTTATTGACACAATATGACCACTGTGATCTCCTTCAAAACAGAACAGGAAGGGAGAAGAGTAAAATGTCATTGGCCACAAGATGTAACAGTTGAAGTTGGTGATGGGTTCATTACACTTTTCTGTCCACTTTTATAAACGTATGAAAACCTCAGTAATGGCCATGTGTGGTGGCTCTCGCCTATAATCCCAGCACTTTGGGAGCCTGCAGGTTCAAGACCAGCCCAGGCAACTTGGTGAGACCTCGTCCTTACAGTAAATCAAAAATCAGCCAGGCGTGGTAGCGCATGCCTGAAGTTCCAGCTACTTGGAAGGCTGAGGTGGAAGGATGACTGGAGTCCAGCAGTCAATGCTGGAATGGCCATGAGTGTGCCACAACACTTTAGCCTGGGCGACAGAGTGAGATTCCTACTCAAAAAAAAAAAATCTTAGTAACTACATCATTTAAAAAAAATTTTTTTTTTTTGAGTGGGAGTCTCACTCTGTCACCCAGGCTGGAGTGCAGTGGCAAGCTCATGGCCACCCCAGCGTCGACCTGCTGGACTCTGGTGATCCTTCCACCTCAGCCTTCCAAGTAGCTGGAACAACAGGTATGGACTACCACGCCTGACTAATTTTTGATTTATTGTAGAGATGAGGTCTCGTCAAGTTGCCCGGGCTGGTCTTGAACCTGAGAGCATAGGTAGTCCACTTGCCTCGGCCTCCCAAAGTGCTGGGATTACAGACTGAGCCACCAAGCCCAGCCACTTAAAATTTTTTAAAGAGCAAATTTAGGATTGAAAATAAAGCTGATGGAGCAGCAGGAGTATCATTTACCATCTAAGCTTCTCTGTCTTTACTACTGGCTTCTTTTCATCACAGTTGTCCTGAATTATTTCTGGAAAGTAGATTGATCTTTTTTTTTAAGTCGGAGTTTCACTGTCACCCAGACTGGAGTACAGTGACACACTCATGACTACAGCAGCCTCAACCTGCTGGGCTCAGGCGATCCTTCTGCCTCAGCCTTTCAAGTAGCTGGCACTACAGGTGCATGCCACTGTGCTTGTCTATTTTATTGTAGAGACAAGGCCTCGCCACGTTTCCCAGGCTGGTCTCAAAACCCTGGCCTCAGGCAATTCTCTCACCTCTGCCTCTCAAAGTACTGGGATTATAGGCATGAGCCACGGTGCCTGGTAGTAGATTGATCTTTCCATTTTTAAAATTGCTTAGATGAAGGAGATAGCCTACTTATCCAATATATTGCTTTTATGTGAGAAATTAATAAATATGCTTCCTAATTCAAGGACTATATTTACCTAAGAGTCTCTGTTTTTATTATTTACATTTCATCCCTTCTTTCCTGCATCATGCTGTTCCTTCTATCCTTTGGTTTTCAACCATGTCTACAAATTAAAAGCACCCAGGCAGCTTTTTAAAAAAAATACCTGGGCCCAATTTCAGATGACTGACTCTTCTATTCAGTCATCTGACATGGGGCACCTGTATATGTAACCATTTAATTGTTTTATGATCTTGCCCTTCCTGCTGGGTTGTTTTACAGGAGCAAGGCCTGTATCCCCAATGACTAGTACAGTGCCTTGACCATAGGTATTTAATTGTTAAATGACTACTTCTATGACACACTTTAATTTCATATCAGAAAAATCTGGAACTATTCTTTTGCAGAAAAACCAAGAGAATATTTAATATCTCTACTGGAACGTCTAAGACTTGCCAAAATAACAGGAGTAGCTTTTCCTGTCTTTATGGATAATTCTAATATTGGGGCCATGTTTGAGATGATGGACACCTCAAACAGAGGCACCATCTCATTTGTACAGTATAAAGAAGGTCAGTATCTTCTACAAACGGTGGTAAGTTTCTGTTCATTCCATAACTTTCTCTAATTGGAAATAATTCTCACTTTGTAATTTCATTTCTTATTCTTTGACAGCCCTAAAAACCCTGGGTTTGTGTACTGCAGATGAAGTTTTAGAAGATGATGGACACGTAATAACTTTGGATAAATTCAAGGATGAAGTGTAAGAACTTTTTTTTAATCCCCCCGTAAGTTTCTTTTTAAAGGACAAAAAATTGAATAATGTGCCATGATTCTGAAGCACAATTAATATCCTTTAAATAGCTACCTATCTTTGGAAAGAAACATTTTGTTCCCTTGAAACTGAGTGGAAAGTGAAGAGCTGAGAGTGAAGTCCTGAAGCCTGGGGAGAGATGGGGAAGTGCTGGGTTTCCAGAGGTGGCTCCATTGTTTTCTCAATAGGAAACCACAGCAATCCTGAAAGAATGAGGTCTTTACCAATGTGCTGCTAGGAGAACCAAGAGAAAAACTTTGAGCTCAACACATTAGCTGGAGAGAAGGAGATAGGAGAGTTGGGAGAGGAATGTCATATATACACAGATATGCAACTTTTAATTGCACTAGCTGGAAAATCTCTGTATAAAATATACAGTAAGGCAAGGTGTGGTAGCTCATACCTATAATCCCAGCACTTTGGGAGGCCGAGGTGAGAGGACTGTCTGAGCCCACAGGTTAGAGACCAGCCTGGGAAACTTGGCAAGACCTCATCTCTACAATAAATCAAAAAATTAGCCGGGTGTGGTTGCACGTGCCTGTAGTTCCAGCTACTTGAAAGGCTGAGGCGGCAGGATTGCCTGAGCCCAGGAGGTCGAGGCTGCAGTGGCTGTGAGCGTGCCACTGCACTACAGCCTGGGTGACAGAGTGAGACTCTAACTCAAAAATATATATATATATTTTTTTATTACTTTATATATATATATATATAAAGTAATAGAATTTATTCCAAGATTATTTATCACAAAGTAAATGCTTATCAATTGCCAGCCCAACAAGTTCAGATTTGCAACATTATAGGATTAAAATTACTAACTAAATGCTAAGTCAGAGAGAAACCACTGGCATAACATTTAATAGTTATAGAAAGTCTTCAGCGAATCTAGTTCAATTTGTTTAAAGTATTACACTTTGATAATTTATTAATCAAGAAACTATTATTTAATACATACCAAGGTCAAGGAAAAGTTAGAAGAAAAAAGAAACTTAAGATTCTCTTCTCATCATCAATTACATAAATATTAAAAATAATTATATTCCCTACCACATGGAAAAATATGGGACAGAGTGCACTGGCCTGATATGTTTTATACAGAAAGAAAAGTTTGCCACTGTCACAATGGCACTAGGAATGTGACTAGGGAGTTTTTCTGTTTTTTGGGGGGGGTTTTTTTTTAGTTGGAATCTCATTCTGTCATCCAGGCTGGAGTGCAGTGGCACACTCATGCTCAGGTGATCCTTCCACCTCAGCCTTCCAAGTACTTGGAACTGCAGGTATGCACCATCACTCCCAGCTATTTTTTTTTATTTACCATAGAGACAAGGCCTTGCCAAGTTGCCCAGACTGGTCTTGAACCGCTGGGCACAGCAGTCCTCTTGCCTCTGCCTCTCAAAGTGCTGGGATTACAGGAGTAAGCCACTGCACCTGGCTGGAAGTATTTTAAGTGGAAGGATATTTGTGGAAAATGAAGAACAATCCTATCTTATTCACCTTCTCACAATGTTTTCTTAGGGAAAAATAGTGAATTCCTAAACTAGATGCAGGAACCTCAAATACAAATGTGCATTCTGAAATGATTTTTTAAAAAAATTTATTGGTTGTGTTTGATTATCCACAAGAGTTTTTCTTAATTAGCATAGGAAATTGAAAGTTGCTTATAATTTATTATCTCTGCTCTTGTATATTTGTAAATGGAATTACTGAGTTTTCATCATTTCTGAATTTTCTGTTTTTGTTTTCTAAGGAACACGAGGACTCAGGAAATATGGTCAGCATTTTAGTAACACCATAAATCCAAGAAAATAAACGATTCTATAAAGTTTTCAGCTTTCCAGTTTCATGAATTCAGAACTCCATCATATAGCTTGAAATCCAACTGGTTTTCTCTTTCTTAAAAACAAAAACAAAAAAAACCTTTTTCTAAAAGATGAATTACTTTCCAGTGTGAGGCCAGTTTGTCCTCAAATTAAGTAGAATCTCAACATCTTGCTGAGCCAGTTTGTAAATTCCAACTTCATTTAATGCTGCTGTGGCAGGAAGTTGCTCTGAAGCTGACTGCAGTACATCCTTCAGAAGGAGTGCAGAACCAATGTTCAAATTCAAAACAATACAGGCTTCTTTTACACTGTTTAGGGAATAAAAAGGAGGAAAACAAGATCTTTGTTATCAATATCATCCGTGTTATCTTCTAACAACTTAACTTTGAAAAATAGCTTCCCTGCACTGCTGGCCCACATATTCTCTACTAGTATTATGTAAGGGTTTGTTTTTTTGGCTCTTTTAACATTTTAAGACTACACAGGTGCACAGAGTTTATATTTCGTTAGATTACTCAAAGGTAATAAGACCACTGTTTTCAAAATGTATCCATTATTTCTCCAAATATATATGTATATATTTTGAGTTTAGATTCTTACTCCGGCACCCAGGCTAGAGTGCAGTGGCATGCTCACAGCATCCCCCATGTCAACCTGCTGGGCTCTAGCAATCTTTCCACCTCAGCCTTCCGAATAGCTGGAACTACAGGTGCACGCTACCACGCCCGGCTAATTTAAAAAAAATTTTTATTATAGAGACGAGATCTCACCAAGATGCCCAAGCAGGTCTCAAACCCACAGGCTCAGGCAATCCACTCGCTTCAACCTCCCCAAGTGCTGGGATTATAGGCTAAGCTACCAAGCCCAGCCTCCAAATATTTTTTTAACCTCAATTTATGTATATTTGACATACCACCTAAATACCACACCTGATATGAACACTATTTTGTGTGTGTGTGTGTTCCAATACAACTTTTTTGATAGTAACACTATTAAATGTAGCTATGACTTTAGGTAGATTAGAATATGAGAAAATTAAGGGATAAAACGAAAGCAGCAAAAAGGTAGAATATTTAAATAAATTTAAAAAGCAGAAATACTTTTTTTTTTGAGTTGGAGTCTCACTCTGTCGCCCAGACTGGAGTGCAGTGGCCGCTTCCGGCCACCGCAGCCTTGACCTGCTGGGCTCCGGCGATCCTTCCGCCTCAGCCTTCCGAGTAGCCAGAATTACAGGCATGCGCTACCACACCCAGCTGGTTTTTTGATTTATTGTAGAGATGAGGTCTCGCTGCCCAGGCGGGTCTCGAACCCGCGGGCTCAGGCAATCCACTCACCTCAGCCTCCCAAAGGCGCGGGATTACAGGCTGAGCCACCGAGCCCGGCAGTCATATCTTACTAAAACAAACAAACAAGCTCTCATTCTATAATAAGCTTAACAGGAATGCTTTATAGACCTCATAAACAATTTAAATTTTATATCAAATTCTAAAAATATTTAAAAGAATTATTATTTTTGAGTTGGAGTCTCACTCTGGCCCAGACTGGAGTGCAGTGGCATGCTCCTGGCCACCGCAGCCTCGACCTACTGGGCTCTGGTGATCCTTCCGCCTCAGCCTTCA